AAAAAGGACGAAGAAACCGAGCGCGCAATTGAAACACGACCCCAAAACGGCAAAGATCTACGGAGTCCATTTTATGAGACTACGTTCGCAGTGTTTTCTTCCTAACTGGTATGTATTTCGTTCAGTCGATATCCTCATCTTAGGGACGGCGTCACCCATGTCCGGCATGCCGCCGGCCCCGGAAACTATATTCTGGATGATTGGGTTGCACACGGCCTCAAGCTTCTTCCGCTGCTCCTCAAACTCCTCCTTCTCGGCGTTCTGGTTGGCGTCGAGCCACGCGATCGTCTCCGAGATCTTGGTCTCGATCGTCGTCTTGTTGACCTCGTCTAGATTAAAGGTAATCTGGTTTTATTGTATATTCATCGGTACCTAATTTAGGCAGTCGGAGAGAGGGGTACATCGCACAACATACGCGAACCCATCTACATGATAAATTGCTCCGAGACGCACGTGTGTCCTTCTCAAATCGCTGAGTGAGACGTGAACAACAAATCTCGCCATTGGACGTGCCTCGCAAGAACAGTTATGCTTGCGCTATTGATCTGCACATCTTCAGCAGCAGAGGCTCTTTGTCTGGCAAGAAGCGTTTAGTTCGACGACAAGGGCAGACGTGGCTGTTCGCCACAGAAGTAGAGGGGTAGACTTAATAGTGGTCCTTGTCGTCAAAAGCGTTAATATAACGGCGAGAAGGAGTTGAAGCGCGGCAAAGACCACAGCTATGCTGTATGTACGGGTATATCTAACACCACTCCCAGTTCGACGCATGGAACGCGTCCTCTCGTATGCTGGTAGGCTGAAGAAAAAGAGCAACCCATGAAGCCGGTGACAGAGCCGGTTGGGTACTTGTGATGGGGATGGGGCCGAAAGACGCATCCCTTTGAAAATTGTCGAGCTTATACTGCTGTAGTATATCATACTACGATGATGCCGTGGACTGTGTGAAGTTGAAAGACGCAATTCTTAGCTTTCATGGCGTAGCTCATGTGATTTTTTCCAGGCGCATGGCTACTGCTGTGTATGCTGCTTCGAGTTTACTGCTGCAGTCCACGGCTTTTTTATTTTGGGGGGGGGACGAACTGCCAGCTGCCAACAGCTACCTGCCAGCAGTGCAGGTTGTCTGGACACTCATTTGATGTCGGTGCCATGGTTGGCTTGCCTGAGCGCACGTCCAGGCGCTGATATATCGCCCGTGTATGGTTCCGTCCGCTTCCCCTCCCAATGATACTTGTAGATGTGTGGGCTTGCGCATGCTTGAGGCAGATTGTGTTTTGGGTGCGGCGGTCTGATAATGACGTCATGGTTGTTTACCCGAACCGGCACATTTTGACGTTTCCGAACCACACACCACACACCAATGTCGCTATAGTAGCCTGAGTCGGAGACATGCACCGCCTTTTTCAAACTGACATCTCTTCATTCATCGGCCGGGTAGCGCGGTGGGTGTCAATTTCATAAACACGCTCACCTCTGGTCAAGTTTCCTGTGCCGTGGGCAATAGGAGGTAGTGCCAAGCAGCGATGCCCCTGAGTGAGACAGGCACAAAAGTTGAGAGAGCGGCCCGAGGCGCGTGCAGGGAATTTTGAATTTTTCAACCAAGTTTAGGATTTTTTTGGAGGTTTCCGACCGACCGGTCGATGGAGGGAGACGCAAAACAAACAAAAAGAAGACGGCCGCCTCAGGACCACCTCTCACACCTCACACATATACCTCCTCCCCACACCTGCCTCTTCTCCGGAACTTCTGAAGCTACCACTACAACGCTCTTCTAGAAATCACGTCAGAACCAAGGTGAGACGCCAGGATATCGAACTCGAGTTGAGACCAGGCGTTCACGGAAGGCAACGACTGCCTTTCATGATGTGCCGATAGCAGGTCGACCCGGCTGTCTGTGAGTGGCATATAGAGGACGCGGATAATATTTGTACATGTACCTCATGTCTCTCTGCCTGTCCTTACACGCCCTCTCTCGTGAAACGAGTACAAGCACGTACATTCATGTATTATCAAGGATGCCTTCTTCCTCGTGACTGGGCCAGCTCCCCGTGTGCTGGTTGGGTCATATCCTGATTTGAGTCTAGACTACTGGAGATCCTCGATCGTCGCCTAATTAAAGCGAAGTTTGATTCTTGAGAATGTACTACACTGTATCACTGCTGTGTAATAGTTCCAAAAACCTGTCTCTCCATTAGTCTGTGGTGCGTCTCGTTTGGGGTTGCTTCGTGCTCACGTAAGAGGTCGATCATGCTCCGGACCCCTCATGGTATGGGATTCGAGTCCTCCTACAGTGTAGGACACTACACACCTCACAACGTTCACCAAAGCATTGCCCAATATTGCGATATGATAGCAACATTTCATTTTACCCCTTCATCCTCTCTCCGCCCTCTGCTTTTGTTAATGACCGAAACAAAACCCAATCGCACAGCATGAAAACTATGCAGAGAGTGCTGGCGAAGATATTCCTTGGCGACGCCGACACAGGGAACGACTTTGCCAGAGGGTTCCCCATGCTGTACACGGCGTTCTTCTGCACCTCTCCGGTGCTGCCATCAAGATCCTCACCGACAAGTTCAGCGGTGGTCCGTCGATCATCGGTGCAACAAGCGGTGAGACGTTTAGTGTGCAGACAAAGACATAGAATAATATAGGAAGAGACACGAGATATGTTTCGGGTGTAGTGCTGTACTGTAGTTTGGATGGTTGGTTTGTACAGTTGCGAGATTGTGCGATGTAGCGACCTGGACAATGGCGATGACGACCTAAGTAAGTAAGGTGCCCGACGTGCAGGACTTACTAACCCTCTCGTAAGGCCGTTCCCTGTAGAGGCCAATGCTGTTTGATCGTGAAACAAACATGATAAACCAAGCGGTGAACACAGACATGAAGAATTTAAAATTGCTGAATATATTTTACAACATCTAATGACGCTTTCGAAACGAACGACACTCCCCCAACTGTATACAGGTGGACACCCCTGCGACACCCGACCAGGCGTTGCCGCCCCGCGTCGTCAACGACACCGGCCACCGTTCGATCGCGAAGCATGATGTCCGCCCTCGGGGAACCACGATGGACGCTACGGATGCGATCCTGGCGTCCGCGCAAGCCGTTTCGGCGCCCAAGCCCCAACACATGACGAAGGCGGAGAAGCGAGTCACCGTTATCATCGTCGGCCGCCTCAAGACGGCGATAGACGCGAAGGATGCATGTGACGTTCCAGCGGTCGGTCTGCTGACCCTCTCGGTCAAGTGCGCTGCTATCAACGCAGCATTACGCAGCAACAAGTGCTGCCCGGCCGGTGCGGAGCGCCTCCGGGAGCTCTTGTCCCCCCTGCTGGCTATGTGGAAGACCGCCAAGTTTGTCATCCGGTGAGTTGCTTGTTGGGTATGTTTGCCCGTGAACGGCCCTGGTGCCCTTTGAACGGACGGTGCTGTTTTGTTGCTTTTGCTAAAGGGCGTGCACTCTGTGAAGAACGCGTTGAAGGGTGGGCCAACGCTTCCAATATTTGGAAACGTGGCGAAATCTAGCCCTACAGCGGAATATATAGTTCATTCATTGAGGAAAACTTGTTGGTTCAGCAATAATGCAGGTTACCATGGGATGTTCCAGGTTGTACTACTGTGACCAACTGCAAGCACCCACCCTGCCGTCATCCGTGTATTCCCTCCGGGCGACACCAGGGGCTCGAAGGAATGGGTTACTCCGGACCACCAGGCAGAGGCCTTCAACCTAATCGGCCTCCACCTCGCCGAGTGCTACAAGGCACTCAAGCCAACCAAGACTGCGGTGAGTGCAGACGCGACGAATCCTTTGGAGCTTGATACCACACATGCTGCCGCACGTTCAGACTCGTCTCGTGCTCGCGAAGGCATGGCTCCCGTATCACCCAGCATAGTGTTTTGTTTTTTGCTGTTTCCCGGTACGTACTCAAGCTGTCGGTATTGTACATATATGCCTTAGTGTCATTCGACCCCCACCTCCCCCCCGTATTGACATTCCCTCCAACCAAACCGACCGAGAGCAGGGACAATATTTGAGTTCCCTGTGTACGTGATGTTCTTCGAAGAACATATCCCCCGCCCCTCCATTTTACATACTGTGCAGGATGTCCACCCCAGTTAGTTTTTTCAGTTCCCACTGGTAATCATTCGCGATTGTTTCCGCATTCATCATCAACACATGTGTTTGGGGTGGATCAAGACGTGTTTCTGTGTTAAACACTACAAGTTGGTATACCCGCTGCCGTTGTTGTTGGTCGGGATGATCTCGTTAGACTTGGAATGAACGCTTTCGTCGCCAGGTCACACCCTGCACCACGGAACGCCTCCATCCCGTCGCTGTTGGTTGTACTACAATACGTGGGATGAATTTCTTCTTTGTCTCAGACCGGAAATCGATCTCCTTGATTTTGTCCCCCTTGACCCTCCAGGCTGGCGCGGCCATCTTCTGGCCCGAGGTGGCCCCTAGCAAGGGGCTGCAGGACAGGACCGCCACGTTCGCCGCGCTGTGCCAAGGGAAGGGCGAGACCACCGCGAAGCAGCAGCAACTTGAGGGTCAGCTGGCCTCCTCCTCCGCCTCTTCCCCCCTCTCTTCTCCGGACAAGAGCGGCAAGAGCAAAGTCTTCTTTGCCTACCCTTGCCACCACCGCCTCGGCAGCACATCAAGCAGCACTGGGAGCGGCCGCACCGTGGCCCCCTCGGACAACGACGACGACGACGCCACCGGCACACTTTCGCCGTCCTCTTCTTCGCCGTCGCCATCTACACCGTCTTCCTTCTTCTCCATCTCCTCCTCCCACGCCTTCTCTGGGAGCGAGAACATCACCGTTAGGCAGTCGTCGTTGTCAAGGTGGACCAAGATCGCCAACAAGGAGGCGTCCACACTGGTGTCGACGTCGACGTCGGTCACCATCCGCTCGTCTTCTCGAGAGGGGGTTGTGTCGCTGGGCCGGCAGAGAAAACACGCCCCGGCCAAGGTGTCCGTGTCCCCGGGCGTGATGTTCGTGCCCTACCGCAGCCCGACCCGCCGCGCTAACCCGAGGGGCACGAGCCTGCGCGGAAGCGGCGCGATCGCTGGTCGCAAAACCAGCTTTGACGAGGGTGGCTTGAGGTGTACGAGATCAGGAAGATGTACGCGTGATAATTAACATGAACATCTATCTATGTAGGGAGAGCGAGTGGCTCGGCACGTGCCGATACGGTCGTCGATTCACAGGGTAGTAAGTACGGCAATTGGCTACATAGCATACCTGGTGCCTTATTTTCGTAATGTTGTGCGCGTGGACATTAAGATGATACATCTAACGAGGGATTGCGAGTGGCTCGGCCCGTGCCGATACGGTGGTGGTCGGCGTAGAGAGGGTAGTGGGTGCAGCATTTCGTACATGGCGTACCTGGTGCCATATATATGTTCGAAGTATTTGAGCAAACAGTAGACAGTCGTGGATTGAGTTGTTAGCAGCAAGTTTACCATTCGCTGTTATGCGCAACCAAATTATGTTCGTGATATCTTTGTGTGTTGACTTGCAGGGACGTCTCGTGGAAATAGGTACACGCCAAACGTCAATACGTTAGTCCGGATGTCGGGTGATTCGTTGGCAAGGTTCTTGGAAAGCACCGTATGCTAACGGATGGGAGGAGGGCGGCATCGTTGCTTTTTTTCTGCTCTCCAAGTTAAAAACCGTTCCGGTTTTCTGCTCGGTACCTTCTGACACCCGTCCAATTGGCGCGGACCCCTACCTCCCGTGATCACAGGACAACTACCCCACAAAAGTGGGACAAACTATGAAATGTCAAAGAGGTGATGACGACACATATCAGGCAGGCCAAGAGAGACCAACACAGACGCAAAAGCTATTCCAAACCCAGAAAAGCATCTTAAGGCCCCAGACAGTCAGACGTCGCCGGCGACACATCATCGGGCGAAGGAGAACCGTACAAATTATCACTCAACAGAGTCTGTAGCGCTCGCTCCGCACACGATGCCAAACAAATTACGACCTGGCAAAATATCACGAATCTCTGGCTGCCGTTTGCCCCCAAAACGTTTGCATGTCCTTCATGCTGCTTGATGGCACGATGGTTGTCATACAATCCTATCGCTATCGTGCGAGTAGTCAACCCACCCACACTGACTCTCGTAGCTCCGTTGATCCACAAGAAAGGGGGCGCCTTTGCAGAAAACGGTGGTTTCGGAAACATTTCGCGAGAGCTTTCGAGCTTTCCTTACTATAGACGTACGGTCGGTGTTCGCGCCTTTTCGGTTGCGGCAAGTTGCGGAGCAACAAGCTATGACAGTCGATTTCAGAGGGATGCCACCACTTCTACAACTATTTACCATATTCAGAGGCGGCTAAATACGTGTACCTAGATCTTGGGGACCAGACTCAATTTGAAACGTAGTTTTGTATCGGACGCCGTGCAAGGTCCCTCTGTTGCTGCGGCTGAGTTCACCCACTCGAGAAAATAATCCAGCCCCGTGATCACTTTCATACTTTATATGCTTGTTCGTTGGGCTCTTCGAGTGAAAAACGTCTTCGGCTGTGTGAGCTGTTCCGAGCTTGGGAAACATCACTGATATCATGGCAGCTTGCAGCTGATTCACACCGACCAGCATATCCTTTACTTTCATCTTGAGTCACGCCCTAGATGACACTACAATACTTCAAGCACTATTTTTGCTCTCATGAGCCCACTCGGCAGGCGCGCCTTGGGTAAATATTGAAAACGAAACAACACGGCGTGCCTGGCATACCCTGTGCCTTATGCTGCTGCTTGCGGGAAAGTGTTGTATGGTGTGTCAGCCCGTGCGTCCGTGAAGAGCAGCATTTGGTCTTGATCCCGGGCTAAAGATGTTGCAACAAAAAGTTAACCATCTGTGCTTTTAAACTATAATAGTCGAATTCAGCTTGCGACCAAGACGAGGGACACCCCTCAACAACCCCCCCCCCCCCCC